TTTTTTTTTTTTTTGCTTTTGACATTCTATGTGTTTTTAAAGATTTAAATAATTTTCATGTTCTGATAACAAATACTTCACACCGCAACTCTGTGTGTAAGATTTGTAAAACTGTATTTCATCGCCATCTATGATCGATTAACGAACAATTCAGCTAACGTTTTTGAACGGATCATGTTCGTTAACCGATCACCCCCGTTGTATTATAAAGTTTCTCTACTTTTTGGAGATCAATGTTTTCGATGGAGATTTTATGCTTTAATCGTCGGTAGTTCCAACGTTAGAAATACTTGCAAAAAGTACCGATTCAACAACCGTGCGAAGCTACTTGCGAGATATTCGATCGTATCTCCAGTTCCGAGATTGTCTCGGCGTGATTTTTCGTGGACAGATTCCAACGATGGCACGAGGAAACCTGGTAGGGCGTGGCGCACCACCAACGCCCATTTTATGTTAATGTTTCCGTGCCTCTCGATCCCGAATTGTCCGTGTGCTACCGAACAGAAAGGGCCGCGTTGATGGCTTCGTGTCGTCGGATAGCAAGATCGTGACGGATAAGCTGTCTGACGGTTTAATTAGACGGATATACGCGACGGGTGGTCCGAGGTACGACCTCACGAATTTTCCTGGCCTGCTTCGCGGGACAAGTCCAACGACCTTTTGCATCCTCCGAGGCATCTGCCGCTGCCTCAGTCCAATGAAATGCAGATTCGTGAAAATATCCGTGTAGCTAGGTCTTGCTCGAAAGGGACCGCGAGTCTCTTATGAATTTGAAAACACAGGCTACTGAGATCGTTGCTGATGCACGAAATTAATTATGAAAGATAAGGAGCTTGTATACTCCCGTTCAAGAATTCAGAGCACGTTCTGAACGAGATAACGATTCCTTTAGGTAAATAAATATTTCGTTTAGAATGTCATTTTATGTTGTTCTTGTTTTTTTTTAAATGAAAAAAGTACACTCCCGTCTAAAAGTCTTTTATTTTTAATATTTAGTATTTATCGTGTTTTATAATATAATATTATGCAATAGTGCAATAATTTAATAATACGATATATTAATATATTAACAGAGACTTTATTCTACGAAGTATGTTTTATATTTATTGCATTATATTACTACGTATTTTATTTATTATAGAAATATAATACTTGTCCCAAGATCTCTGGACGAAGTATATGTCAGTCCTACGTGCGAAAGGCGGAAAAAGTAAATGATATTTTACAATAAAGAATCCGAGACACGTATACGCATTATAAAAAATGCGTGCAATTTAACAACTGTATCATCCACGAGACAAATACCGACTGTCGAAAATAAAAAGTGACCCAGCGGGAGTGTGTCCCTTAAAACCTGTTTGTCCCTTTCAAAAAGATCTGTAAGCCCGCATCAATATTTTCTAATATACACTTGAAATATTCAGACCCTTAATCCTATTAATTTTTAAACGAGACGATGCTTCTTAACTCATTAAGATATACGATCGAAACTTTGTGACTCATCCGAAGAAGAACTCGTTCTAGACCATCAATCCTCTCCCTTGTTTTCCCGTGAAAATTTACAACACTCCCACTCGTCGATCATGTCACCTATTACGCAAATCGACGCGTGAAATTTCACCAGGAAACGAAAACTACGTGTCCTAGCTCGGCCAAACAGCAAGAAATTTGTGCGAGGGATCAACGAGGTAATTTATGCTTGCTTGGCTATCTCCGTCGCGCCAAATGCGGTCGTTGAAAAATATTAGACGTGTCCCCGACAATTCTTCGCTTTTTTTTTTTTTTACCATTCGGACGAGCTGCAAAAGTGGTCGAGTCGTTGACAACCGCGCGCCATGTTCGTACCACCGACGTTGCCTGGTCCTGGCCGAGCTGTTACGAGAGATTATTCGTCGGATAAGCCGAGTGTCGTTGTGTAATTAAGCAGGGAGAACAGGGCCCTCGCAGCGGGACGAAAGAGGCATGAATTTCTGCAGATTTATTCCCGGTAATCGCGCGGAGTTTCGTTTGGGTGGGCCGTTTCGTTTCGAACAGGTATGCCTGTTCTAACGAATCTCGCTCCGAGCGACTCTTTTTCCATGGCAGCGCGCTTCCACGAAGAACCGACGTCATCGATACACGGTTTCCTTTTTTCAACCGGTTTCCTGGTTCGTTCGCGAATCTTTCGTGCCGGCCGCGCCTAATTAAATTGTTTTATAGTGCGGATTATACGAAAGCGAGAAACAGCGGGCGTCCTAATGACCGTAATTTACAACCGATCTTCATGAAAGTAAATTTCGTGGCTGTGAAGCACTAATCGAAGAGCAGACATTATGGTCCAGTTGTCTTATCGTTAGTTTTCTCTTCGTAAAGATTAATTTTGAATTTCTATGTGTGTTATCTATCGATCGTTGAGTGAAATTTAATTTTAGAAATTAAAATTTGACTAATTAATATTTCAGAAATTACGTTGAATTCTGCGTGCCTGTGTTTGTAATTAATATTCTAGAAGTTAAATTAGATGATTCAATACTTTCGTGAATGCCTAGAAATTTTAGAAGATGCTCAGAAACAAATTATCAATTACTTATTGGTACGTTGCCACGTGCTCATATTTTCACACAGTGTGATTTGAGTAATTTTTTGTACAAACATGTTGAAAAGAAACAAATTTATGCGAATCACTTGATAATCATTGTTAATTTTAACATGAGTAATTAATAAATTTTAGTACTATCAACTGTCGATGATCACTGTATCAGTTGGTACAAGTAACATAGATTAACATCGACTAACATAAGATTATTCCAACGTTAGAAACTCGAAAGAGATCTATGATTATATCGTAACGAAGGCAGAACGTTCGAAGGAAAAAAAGCTTGGCCAGCACAAAGGAACAACAGTTTTTCTTCGAACGAACACTTTCACTACCTTTTCTAACAGCCCTGATTAACGAGAAGAAAGTGCGTGCTGAAAAGTTCTTTTTTCCCGTGAAGGGGAAATATCCTCGCTGCCTGGAGAAGGTTATTTCGCTGCGGCATGTAAAGTCGCGATGCTTGAATAAGGGTGGTTAAATTTCGTCGAGGTCGACCTTCGTGCGATGTGCGGCTCGCTAGGTTCGTTCGACCTCGACTATTCAAGCCATGTACAAGCCTATGTAGGTGAGTCGAAATCGTCTGACCCGCGAGCAAGCACGCGACGACTTTCCCTTCCCTCGTTTTATTGATCCACCCTCCTATACAAATAAGCTCGAAGCACCCTCCCTACGTACGTACTAACTTTCAAGGAAATCCACCTCGTCAACTGGACGTTCACCTCTTTCTTTTT